CAGCCGACCACCAAATGCGACTATGACCTTTTTTCGGTGCAAGTTTGGCTCTGGGAAGTGCTTTGGAGCTTCTTCTCGGTCCATCCACTGGGCTGGTTGTCACTGGTTGTCATATAAAATCCATTCTTTGTCTCACGTCACAATACGATTGAGAAATGGTTCATTGTTGTGTGAAGTAAGAGAAGATGACACTTCAAAATGATGTTTTCAAAAAAAATTTTTGCTCAGCTCATGAGGCACCCACTAATTGAGCTTTTTCACCTTTCCAACTTGCTTCAAATGCTGAACAACCATAGAAAGGTCGACGATGAGTTCTTTGGCAACTTCTTATATAGTTGTAAGAGGATCAGCTTTGATGATTGCCCTCAGTTGGTCATTGTCAGCTTCTGATGGCCAACCACTATGCTCCTCATCTTCTAAGGCTCTTGTCTCCTTTGTAAAACTTCTTGAACCATCACTATACTGTATGTTTGTTAGCAGTTTGTGGGGCAAATGCATTGTTGATGTTGCATGTTGTTTCCACTGCCTTACGACCCATTTTTGAACTCAAATAAGAAAATCACTCAAATTTGCTTTTTGTCTAACATTTCCATAGTCTAAAATAAATTTTAAGCAAACAACAAGTAATGTCATTAGCAAAAATAATAAAATGAGAAACACACATTAAAATGATGTATAACATGATCACATTTAATAATGTATTTCAATATCAAACGGCAAATTCCAACAGTGTAAAAACTGCAATTACATTTGCACCAAGCTAATACTTTGTTTAATTAGCATAGAGTTGGTGGATTTTTAGGTAGCTGCCAATTCTTTTTGTAACTGTAACAAACAGTGAAGCTTGAATATCATTATATGCATACTTATGCTTACTTTGAAAAGGATAGGGTAATTTTCCGCCAAAAGCAAAAGGATAGGGTAATTTTCCTCCAAAAATGTACTACTTTCTCTTCTCATCAATGTTTTAACCCACAGCTGTCAGTCTTGACTAATTAATTTTTAAATTATGAATATGCCTTTGAAACTAAACCAAAATTTGACAAGTAGTCATTTCTTAAAGGTCAGTTACAATGTAGAGTATAGAAATCATACCAAAAAACCTTTTCTGCTCTCATTCATTAAAATCCATTGTAGTTTGAATGAACCATTTACCCATGTGTGATTTTGTAACTACATGCATTATCTTTTGGAGGACACTGGTTCATTGAGTTATGCATGTATTTCAAATACTAACACATTTCACTACCCAACATTAAATCATAATAGCTAATATCACCATAGTTCCATCAGAACAAGTTTTTAAGTATTGGAAAACTGTCAAGGTCATCATAGCATATAAAAATTTTTACAAAATTTGCATTGCTTGAAAGCTTTAATTTTATTATTGGTAATAAATGTCAGGTTTTCTTGAAGTAAGAGTCTCTTCATTCATTCTTGAGAATGCTTTTTATTTATTTATTTTGCTTCATTGTACTCTTGAATAGCAAAGTTAAAAGTGAATGTTCTTGATTTGCTCTCAGTCGTTAATGGAAAGCATTCCGTCTTTCACCATTAAATGTGATGTTAGCTGGTAGTTTTTCCTGTGTTCCCTTTATCAGATTTAGAAACCTTCTATTCCAAATTTTTGAGTGTTATATCAAATGCTTTCTTAGCACCCATTAAGATGGTCTTATGGTTTTTGCCATTTCTTCTGTTATTATGGTGAATTATATTGGTGGATTTTTAAATATTAACCCAACTTTGTATTCCTGGATTAAAGCATTCTTAGCATGGTCTCTCATTCACTTACATATCTGTAATGCCCAACCCAGTCCCATAAAGTTATAGTATATGTTCAGTAAGTATTTGTTCAATTAATTAAGACAGTGAAATTCCTTAAATGGTTTTCCTGTTTTGGAAACTGTTGAAAACTTTTGAAAAAAACAGTCATTTTATAAACCAAAATACACTGCTGTCTGTCGTACTCAGAAGTCATTTCTCAACAACGTTAACTATTGGAAATACAGATGGTGATTCAGAAGGAAGTAGAGAACCTTTTGACAGTCCTTTTTTTTTTGTTTTTGAGATGGAGTCTTGCTGTGTCAGCCAGGCTGGAGTGCAGTGGAGCTATCTTGACTCATTGCAACCTCCACCTCCTGGGTTCAAGCAGTTCTCCTGCCTCAGCCTCCCAAGTAGCTGGCATTACAGACGCGCGCCACCATGCCCGGCCGTTTTGTATTTTTAGTAGAGACGGGGTTTCACCACGTGGTCCAGGCTGGTTTCAAACTTCTGACCTCAAATGATCTACCCACCTCAACCTCCCAAAGTGCTGGGATTACAGGCATCAGCCACCGCGCCCAGCCGACAGTCCTTTCGTTGAAGAAGCTCAAAACCTTTTTATTTTTACATTTCGTATATAGTTCTACCAAGTTTTGATCTAGTTTCCATGCACCCTGCATATCAGAAGTAACAAACTGGAGTAGAATAAGTTATTAGACATTGTTAAATTGAGAGGATGTAAATTAATAACTTTCAGTGGCAGAGAGGGGGAAAAAGCATTATGGAAAGAATTTTAAAAGCTTAGTAGCTGAGAGCCGTTTGTAAATCTTAATTGCATCTCCAGCCTCTTAATGTATATAGCATTGTAAAAGCAGGATTTTAGAGTTGGAGTAAACTTAACAAGCCTCTCATTCCCTGTTTCTGAACCTTTTCTCTGCCTTTACACATGTGAGGGGTAGATATGACAAATACATATAAGAGTGGCTGTGGTAGGAGTGGCTTTGATTCCTAGTAGCAGGAGGAGATGGGACAAGCATGTGTGATGTGTGTGTGTTTGCAGGGGGTCCTGATATATACATATTGGGGTGTATCAGAATCTCCGTTTCTGGGGAGGGCACCATGTATGCAGTTTGAATTTGTATCCATTCCTGCTATGAGTACACTATATCTTTTTTTTTTTTTTTGAGAAAGAATCTTGCTCTGTCTACCCAGGCTGGAGTGCAGTGGCGTGATCTTGGCTCACTGCAACCTCCACCTCCTGGGTTCAAGCGATCCTCCTGCTTCAGCCTCCCGAGAAGCTGGGACTACAGTGATTACACTAGCTTACATTCCCACCTGTAGATGTTCTGCTGCCTCACTCATATTCATATCCAAGAAATACTTGTCTTATCCAAATCACTAATATTATTATAGATTAGTAAACTGAGGCCCACTTGAGAGACTGAATGACAAGCTAGCCACACAGCTGATGAATATTAGGTTAGACACTAAGAATGTAGTTGTCTTGATTTTTAGTTCATTGTTTTCTGTTCTGTCCTGCAATAATTTATATTCAAAATAATAGGGTAAATAATAAGAATGTTATATTTAAAAAAACTTTTTATTAAAAAGAATGAGAAGTTTTCATTAGATTTGTTTTCTCTTTCAATATATTGAAAAAAATCACTTGGAAGTAAAACTGAGACTTTTTTTCATGCTAATAGATAAATGCAGTGTTAAGTTTCAAACTAAATAATGGAGAGGGAGACTGTCTAAAAGAAAATGATAGTTATTTAGGAGTGGGCATTACAGTGGGAATATATGTGAGTATATTCAGGGAGGTAAAGGAAGACAAAAATTTTTAAAGGAAAAATGAGGAAGGTCACGTAAGTTGTTTTGAGAGCTTATCCTTGGCTACAAGGATCATTAACAAGAATGGCATCAGTCCATGGTTGGACAGGCAGTTCCTGGGCAGATGTCCTCGCAGAGTAATTTTTTGTAAGGTTGTGGTGGCTTTTGTTCCAGGTTGTGGTTTTTGCAGTCTTTTGTGATAGTTCTTGTTATCAGGCATATATATGTGTGAGAACCCTCCCTTCATCTCCTTCCCTAGCTCTGTTTGTCAGGGTTTTAATACAAGTGACTCCGTTTTGATTCTGACAACTTCCATATAAAGTAAATTGATCACTTATATTTCAGTTTATTGGGAATCTGTTAGTTCTGAAAATAAAATACAGATGACTTCTGGGCATTCGGACTTCATATTTGGAGTTTGTATTATTCTATATAGCTTCATAATGAATTATTACTAGCTCTTACTGGCTTAAAATGAAAGACTTTACTATCTCACAATTTCTGTGGGTCAGGAATACACGCATGGCTTAACTGGGTCTTCTGTTTAGAGTCTTACCATGTGGAAATTAAGGTGTAAGCCTGGACTACAATCTTACATGAGCCTCAGTACTCTCTTCCAAGTTCACTGGTTCTTTTCAGAATTCAGTTCCTCATGGCAATAGAACTGTGGCCCTTACTTCCTCGAGGATTCGTATCTGGCATGTGGCTCGCTCCACAGCTTGGTGGTTTGCTACTGTAAGGCCAGCAGAAGAGTTTCTCTGCTGTTTCCAATATCTCTGACTTCTAGACCATCTTTTTAAAGGCTCACCTGAATAGGTCAGGTCCACCAGGATTCTCTTCCTTTTGATCAACTTACAGTCAACTGATAGGAGCCTTGATTACATCTGCCATATAAGTTAGCTTGGTCACAATAGTGAGATCCTAGGAATCCTGCCCACTTTCAAGGGGAGGCGTTTATACAAGGTGTATAAACCAGAGGATGGGAATCTTGACAGTGGTGATCTTAGCAGTATGCCTACCACAGGGTTATTAAAGCCAGTAGCGACTCTCTTGTTCAGTAGAACTGGAATCTTTTAACTGTGTGCTAAGCGTTTCTCCAGGCTATGGAAATATAAAGCTAAAAAGCCCAGCTTTTGTCCAGTAGTAAGGTGGTAGAGAGAAAGAATGAAGTACTGTTTATGATGTAATTCAGTCACGCAGCTGCAATAGAGGTGTATCCAGGCTACAGTGTGAACATCAAAGAGAAGGTATTGGGAGGTGGGGAGGTTTGGTCAGGAAAAGTTATGTATTTGGAAAAAGTGATAGTACTGCTTTAGTTCTTGAAACTAAATTTTAAAACCAGTTTTTAAGAGGAAAACCTTAGTATTTAAGATGATGAAATTATTAAATGAGTATTTCTTTTCCCCCAGATGGTATACCTCAAGTTTACTATTTCGGCCCTTGTGGTAAATACAATGCTATGGTGCTGGAACTACTGGGACCTAGTTTGGAAGACTTGTTTGACTTATGTGACAGAACATTTTCTCTTAAAACAGTTCTCATGATAGCTATACAACTGGTAAGTAAAATAGGGTATTTGAAGTTGTTTGAACGATTACATGGTTGTTGGTCACAAATTCATATTAAAAGTTTAAAGTTCTGTGATATTGTCTTACAGAGCATTTGACCTAATACAAATGTTTCTACTTTTCATACTGTCTTTCTAGGATCCATGTAACTTAAAATAACTGAGTCAAGTATATTTTATTTGTATGAAAACTAATATAATAATTGCTTTAAGATCAAAATGCTCAGTTTGATAATTAAGTTGTCACTAGCCATTTCTTCATATAAAAGATGAATACTTCAAAAGAGAACCTCAGAAACATAGATTTTTTTTTTCTTTTTTTTTTTTTGAGATAGAGTCTTGCTTTGTTGCCCAGGCTGGAGAGCAGTGGTGAGATCTCGGCTTACTGTAACCTCTGCCTCCCAGGTTCAAGCTATTCTCCCGCCTCAGCCTCCTGAGTAGCTGGGACTACAGGTGTGTGCCACCACACCCAGCCAATTTTTTTGTATTTTTTATAGAGATGGGGTTTCACCATGTTAGTCAGGATGGTCTCGATCTGACCTTGTAATCCACCTGCCTTGGCCTTCCAAAGTGCTGGGATTATAGGCGTGAGCCACCATGCCCGGCCAGAAACATGGATTCTTAATTTTGGTAATAGACTTTATGACCTGGAAAAACAAGCGGCAAACTAATGATTTAGAGAGTCTTGATAAACTACTTAGACTTCAGGGAATCCATTGGATAACAATTAGAGAATGTTTTAGGGCAGTTTTGAAATAAATGCCAACAGAAGTGTGCTGCAGAAGTCTTAAAATTGTTTTTATTCATTGACTCATTAATTCTACTTCTACAAATTTGTCCTGTGGATGTTTTCACAGGTGCTTAAAGCTTTATATGAAAGGATGTTTATAATAAAAAAATGAGAAGCAACCCAAATGTGCAGAAATAACAGGGTTAGTTGAATAAATTAATAGCCAGAGGAAAATATGCAGCTATTAAAAAGTGCGCATTAAAGATTGTTTCATAGGCTAAGTGTGGTGGCTTGTGCCTATAATTCCAGTGCTTTGGGAGGCTGAGGCTAGAGGATCACTTGAGCCCAGGAGTTCAAGATCAATCTGGGCAACTTAGTGTGACTCCATCTCTACAAAAAATTAAAAAAAAAAAAAAAAAAAAGGCCGAGTGTGGTGGTGTGCTTGTGTAGTCCCAGCTGCTGAGGAGGTTGAGGCAGGAGGATTGCTTGAACCCAGAGGTTGAAGGTTGAAGCTGCTGCGAGGTATGCATTCCAGCCTGGGTGGCGGAATGTGGGATCCTGTCCTCTCCTCCCCCCACCCCGCCCCGCCCCCCACACACCAAACACCAAAAAACCAAACAACTCCCCCAAACAAAACAAAGAATATTTCATGACCTTGAAAATGCTCATATCATTAAGAATCTATAGACATAGAATACTGTATATTGTATGCTGCAAAGTTTGTTAAGCAAACGAAAATGACCTGTGTAACCATATGTTTACATTGCATTGTTAACCATGATTATCACTAAGTGAAGCAGTTTTATTTTCTTATTTGTAATACTGTTTTATGACAGTTTGTCCAATGAACATTGAGAATTTGTAAAATAATTAATAAAAATGAGCTATATTATTAATATTAGAGTTGGATTCCAGACTTTTCTAGCTTTAAGATCTTTCTAACTTTAAGATTAATCATTTTTAAATGTTTAATACCTAGGAAAAAGTAAGGGAAACATGTTATGAAAAAGAAAAAGATACTGAATAGTGCTGTTGTTTTTATACTTGTAAAAGTTGCTTGGTTATTGAATTGATAAGGAAGACTATATTGCAACGTTTTGCATATGTCTGCTTATACTTTTGAGTTCAAGGTCTTGTATCAATATGACTTTTTGATTTTATGAAGTAGCATCCTCTGAAAGTGTTGATTGAATCAGACTTACTGATATGAAAGGAATTCATAAAATTCAAATACTCTTGTTTAGCAGTGACCATAATAGTAAAGGCAAAGATTTTAAATTGTAATTTGCTATATGTATTTGAAGAACGATGGGCTGACATCATTTTACTTTTAAAGGGTTGAAACAATTTCTGATTTATTTCTTTTGTATGTTTTCATTCTGTCTTGCCTTTTTCATACTTGCTTAGGCTAGTCAAAGCCCAAAATGAAACTTCTCTTCTTTTTTTCTTAAACTAAGATTTCTCGCATGGAATATGTCCATTCAAAGAACTTGATATACAGAGATGTAAAACCTGAGAACTTCTTAATAGGACGACCAGGAAACAAAACCCAGCAAGTTATTCACATTATAGATTTTGGTTTGGCAAAGGAATATATTGATCCAGAGACAAAGAAACACATACCATACAGAGAACACAAGAGCCTTACAGGAACAGCTAGATATATGAGCATAAACACACATTTAGGAAAAGGTATGTGTACCTTTCGTAAGTATGGAAGTTTGAATTCAGCAGCTATGCTAACACTGTGCGTTTTTATTTGTTATGGTTCAGTTTTTGCAGATTACAATAGCTTTTATTATAATTTTCACTTATCAGATCTACCTGGAGTTTACTTTCACTTATATTTTAATAAAACGCTTTGAAAGTAAGTTACTATAGAGTAAATGAGTGACAGCTATCTTTACATTCACTGTATTTTTTGTATTTGTATAACTTGAAGTGTGCATCTTTGATACAGTTATGGGGATTCTTTTAATTATTTCTCTTACAAAATATGAGAGAATACCAAATTTTAACTGAATTTAATGCATGTGGAAATATTGGGTTGAGACTATAGCTCTCCAGTATGTCTAGCCACAGAAATAGCAACTAGCCGAATAAGTACATGACCTTAGAGGTGGGCAGAGCTGGCTTACCTGTATGTTAACTGTGACTTCGGACAAGTTTAACCGTTTTAAGGGGTTTCTTATTGGTAAAAAGAGTAAAACAATATCAACTTCGCAGGATTTTTTTATAGCATTCCTCCTTCACCCAGGTTCATATTTATCATATCCCTTAAATCATTTTCATCTGAAACAGTTCCTCAGTCGTTCTTTATGGCTCATGACCTTAATATTTTTTAGGAGCTCAGGCTATTTTATAGGATATCTCCAATTTGGGTCTGTTATTTCTTTTTGACTAGATTTGGGTAGGCATTTTGAGCACAAATATCACAGAAGTAATGTGTTCTTAGTGCATCAGTTTGGGATTGCTTGCTTGGGTGATGTCTGCCAAATTTCTCTACTGAAAAGTTTCTTGTAGTTAGATTTTGGGATTATGTAAACATGTTCCTCATCAGATTTTTACCCTCTAGATTTAGCATCCATTGATGATTTTCTAACTCTATTATTTCTAATGTTTATATTTCCTTATTTGTCAGTTGATATTCTAATGTAAGCAGAAGCCTTCCCTTGTCCCCCAGTTATTGACTTACGTCTATATGAACTTATTAATTCTTACCTTATTTAATGTAATGTATTGAATGCATTATTATTTATTTTGATAGCCAAAGGGTTCCAGATGTGGCCACTGGTTGCCCCTTCAAGCTGGCTTCTCTGTCCTTTTGACATGTTCTCATGAATCTTTGAGTTCTTTCTTTCTGGTACAGCAAGTTCTTATAAATAAACTCATCTTGCAGTTTCTCTTCTGCAGCCCCATAATCAGTCCTTTTCTCCAAGAAGTTCTGAATCTTTTTATTGGATAATGGTATTTAGAAACCAAGATTTGGCCACTGGATATGCTCATTACTGTGGTATGTTGTTACTGCCAGGCCCTTTCTGCAGCAGAACTAGGAAATGTTTGTGCGTGTATGTATATACATACACACATAGAAATATGCCTATATATGTGTGTGTGAGACACACATACATTAATATCTGTTAAAAATTTTGAGTTTACACTGATACACTTTTAATTTCAGTCTGTCAGTACAAAATAGTATTTCCTTTTTCTATATTTGTAATTCCCATCCCTTTTCCATATTTGTATCTTTTTTTTTAACCAACAGTGAGAAATCTGGCTATCACTACTCATAATATATTTACTTGTTTTTAAAAGCTGAGGATACTCAGAAAGTAGTTTCAGATTGCCAAGTGATACCACTTTATATAGCAAGTCTAATAGAATTATAGCATTTGTAATTCTTATTTTATTGAAGAGTTTTTATTTGAAGTAAAATTTACATTGGGTAAAGTATACAACATTTGATTATGTAAATTTGTGAGTATTAATGAATGTGCACACTATGTAATCCACAGCACTATCGAGATTTAGAACACTTTCATTATCCTATAGACTTCCATTTTACCCATCTTAGTCATTCCCCTCCTTTTCTAGAAGCAATCACCGATCTGATTTGTATCACAACAGTTGAGTTTTGCTGATTCTATTACTTCATGTAAATAGAATCATCCAACTTATTTTGGTTGGTATAATGTCTTTAAGATTCATCTATGTTTTTGCAAATATCAGTAGTTTATTCTTTTTTAATGCTAAGTAATATTCCATTGCATAAACATAGCACAGACTGCTTATCCATTTGAATGTTGATGGATATTTGGGTTAAGTTTTTGACTTATAAATAAAACTTGTATAATATTCTTACAAATCTTTTTGCGGGCATATTTTTCAGTTTGGTCCTATGGCAGGTATTATTTAACTTTATCAGAAACTGCCTGTCTGTTCTGGGGAGTGTTCATACCTTTTTTTATTTCCACCAATAATGAATGAGAATTTGTTTGTTTCATATTCTTGACAACGTTTAGTTTGTCAGTCTTTTTCATTGTAGCTATTCTAGTGGCCAAGGGGTGGTCTTTTAATTCCTTGTGATTATTGTTTCTGAGATCTGTTTCATGTATTTATTGGCTATTTGTATATCTTCTTTTGAGAAGTGTGTGTCATTTCATTGTTAATTTATAGAGTTCTTTATATATTCTGGGTATGATTATTTTGTCATATATATGCATTGTGAATAATTTCTTCCAGTCTGGGCTTGCTCCTATTCATTTTCTTAATGGTATCTTTTGATGAGCAGAACTGTTAAGTATTTATGAAGTCTAGTTTATCCATTTTTTTGTTTATGGTTATTGCCTTTTGAATTCTAACAAATCTTTACCTTCATGTGATAAAGTAAACAAATCTTTACCTTCATTACATTTTATGCTTTCTTCTAGAAGCTTTATAGTTTTAGCTTTTTATATCTGTGATCCATCAGAATTGATTTTTTATATCGTGTGAGATAGGGGATGCGGTTCTTTCTATGATATATTCTTTCCTATTGAATTACTTTTGTTTCTTAAAAAGTCACTTCTAGATTATATTTGCCACATTCAGTATTCGTATCAGAGAAAGTACAAACCTAATTATCTGCTTTTAGATATTGTTCTGCTTTCAGTTACTGTTAAACATCTCACAACAGATAGACAGAAATGTGAACCAATCAATATATATCCATCACTGCTGCTCAAAAGTACCTTCAGATATGCTATCACAGATTTGGACAGGATCTTGGAAGTCGTCTAATCCAACTTTCAGATCCCGATCTTAGCTTTTTCTCTAACCATTCTCCTCAGCCTTAGCTACTCTATAGAGCATGTCCCTGCTCTGTCTCTCAATCATAACTCAATAGGATGTGACATCTTTCCTGATAGCTGACCTGACTGTAGGCTTATGGTATTTTTTGTTTTCAGACATCTGAAATGCCTGAGAAATGTAAATTTACTGGTTTTTTTTTTTTTTTTTTTAAGAAAAGTAAGTTTCAAATATTTAAAATTGCAAAACACGAGTTTTATTCAGTTAATATGTTCAGGGAGTAGCTTTCAATAGCTGACTTTCCTGATAGATTTAAAAATATGATTGGGTAGCTATACAACTTTTGGGATTGTGACTTCTATTAAAACCAGGCACACTTTATTGACATGTGCAGTGACTGTGAGAAATTTTCATTTTACGGGAGTTGTTAGCAGACTATAACAACTAACAAAGGTTCACCACTATTTTATTGTGAGACATGAAGTCACAACTTCCTTAGGGCCTAATGTTCCTTATCTGAACAATGGTAAATGTAACAGCATTCTATTTGTAGAAATGGCAAAGTGAGTGTGATTTGTTTGTCATTGTTAGGAAAAGTCATCAGTACCTGGGAAATGAGATTTAACTATTATAATAATCTCTCTTTACTCCTCTTTCAGGAATAAAACAAAAATTTATTTATTTAGCAAACAATGAATGTTTAATGTTTACTTTTCCCCATTTATAAACACCCTCAGTTTTCATGTAAAACTCAGGAGTAGGTGGGTAATATTAATAGATAAAAAATTTTGTGTCTGAAATTACATGAATTCCTATTTAAAAATTAAGAGTAAGCTAAGGTAATACGAATTTGGATGCTGAGGAATTAAAACATTTGGTAAATTGTGATGCCTTTGGACATGGAATACATAGTGGTGTTTTAAGTTTAGAGTACTTGGTTTTGTGAGGAGTCAGGAAGAGATAAAGAAGGAAAAGGAGCAGAGAAAACATGACTTTTTAATGTGATTTTAATTTGTGCATATCTTATTTCTGCCCTCCCTGCTTTGCCTGGATCTTGGTGATTACTTTTAAAGCCTTATTCATTCACCCATCTTTCCATCCATTCATTCATTCTTAGGCACTCAAGGACTTCTTGCTCACATGAACTTTTCAAAATAGAGAGTTTGGTCAAAGGAACATTATATGGGTTTGTAAGTATTTTTCCTTTTTGGAGACTGACACTATCTTAGACTTAAAAAGGAAAAAGATGTTCCTAATACAATAATATAGAAGAATAGTATAAAATCACATAATAGGAATTAACATTTTATTCTTGTAGTATCTGTTGATCTTAACTAGGTGATTTATGTTCAGAAGGCAGACATTGCAGTTCACATTTATACCTTTCTTGTATCTGCTTAAGTCTCTGTCCAAGATGCAGTCTTGATAATGCTTTGTGTTACAGATGTGGATTTCCACGGTGTCCTTGCATGAAAACTTTCTTTAGTGTTGTCATATTGAATTATTTTTGTGTTACATCTGATCATGTGTCTACTTTTTAATATCTTTTTAAAGACTTTTGTCAGCTGCCTTGAACCTCATAATCTTCCTTTGGATGACTGTTTTTCCCTTTTATGTCTTCTCTTGTTGAAGTCATTTGATATTAAGTAAATAATGTCTATTTCTCTTTGATGAGTAGTCTTGAGATAAAAATCAAGTCTTTTATTTTTAAATTTTTATTTATTATTCAAGAATAAAAAAACTAGCATTTGAGGGATAAGTTGGGAGTTGCTTCGTAAGTGTTAGTAAAAACCTGTGTTCGTAGAAGAATGATGTTTCAAGCTTCTAAGTGGTAAGTTCTCTGAATAGGAGAGAAGGAACCACATAATTACGGTGTTCCAAAAATGCCTTCTTTCTGTGCT